AGCAGTTCGATTCAGTCCCTATGTTAGCTGCTCGATCTCTTTATTGCCTGGTCAGCAGAAATTTATAGTAACGTGCCGTAGTTAGTAGTGTATTATCAAGCATCTTGTAAAGTTAGCATAAAGTCGACAAGTCGTTCTGAACTATGATACGCATGCTAGTGGATTCATCTACATGCGTGGTCTGAAAAATTGCCGATCTAAAAAGACAAAACATTGTTTCTTTAAATGTATTTTAATTTTTCTGAATGGTCTGCTTGTAATTCTACAAATTTTTTCCAGCGGTGCTCTGTTCTCTTTAACCTCTCCTAAAAGTACCTGCAGTTTTTTCCTGCAAAATAATTGTTTACGAATATGATGGTACCCTCCTTTGACGAAAATCTCTGTCCTAGGAGCGGAAATTTTAATTTAGGGAACAAAAAAAAATTCATTTTATGGTTAATCTGATGAGTAAGGAGGGCCGTCAAGCAGTTCAAACCATAACTCTCGAATTTTCACCATGGCAAACGCTGAGGTGTGAGACGGTGTATTGTCTTGATGAAACAAAGTTTTTATATTCTGCAAATGTGGCCGTTGTTCCGTAATTTCTGCTTCTTCATCTTGTCAAACAATGATGCGTAGTATGTTATGATACGTAGCATGTTATGCTGTAATGCTTATGCTTTTAACTCCATGACTACTTGAAAAAACGGTCGCTTTCACTATCCCAGCAAAAAAAGAACAGTTTCGGCTGTTTTTGTAAACGATTTTCCCATCGCAGTCTACAGTTTTGCCTGTATTTTTGTATCTGGAATATAATGCTGTATTCAAGTTTCATCTACAGTAATTAATTTGTGCTTATACTGGCCTAACAGAGCGTTGGAAATAATCATTCAAAAACGTTTTTGTTCTAACGTAAGCAAACGTGGAACCCAACGCGTGGACATCTTTTTCATGCTTAAATCTTGATACAATATGTAACAATCACGTTCTTTGGAGATATTCATAGTCTCTGTTATCATTCTCACTTTAATTCGACGTTTGTTTAGCATCATTTGGTGAACTTGAGCGATGTTCTCGTCAGTGGTTGCTGTTTTTATACATCCCGAAATTTCATCGTTTCGAGCTGGTAAGTACGGCAACGTTGAAATTCAGCCTCCTAAAATTTCTTTGAAGTAAATGATGGTGCAGTGTTCCCGTAAATATTGTCCAACTCGTCTTTGATATGCGTGAGCTTATTGTCTTTTAATTTCAAATATTTAATGGCACTTTGATTGATACTCTATTTTTTCCATTTCCATACACTCGCATCGACTCATTCAAACGATTATCAAACAACAGCCGCGCATCTAAGATGGCTGAAATTGTGCTGAGTACTTTTCAAAGTTCAGAAGATGCACAAACACATTCCTTAGCATTTGTTGACGAGTGCTTTGATTTTCATGTTTTAGTCTGCAAATTTTCAGACTACCCTCGTATTCACGTGAATAGAGAATACTAGTTATATACAAGCATATATACACATGTATGCATGTATTCACATACATCAACCGAAGTTATCAATTACGAATGGTGACCTAGTCGTAAGCATATAATAACCTATAAATAACCTATCAAATTGCAAAACCGAAAGAGTATGGGGTTTATTATCCAGGAAGAAACAGTAGTTGAAAGAAGAAGTAATATTCTTGATTTTGTTAAAGTTTTTATTTGTTACCAATATCCCTTCGATTTATTTATCGATCATAGGCTATCGTCCCAAACTGTAATGAGCGATAAAGGCGATTGTAAAAAAATGCGATCCATTATGACAATCTTACCTGAAGACATGTTAGTACATTAGGTAAAAGACTTTTGATTTTACATTTTTAATTTAAAATTCATCATACTATTTTTGACGTTAATTATTATCAAACCATAGGACATTAGTTTGTCTATTATAAAAATGATGAATATATTGCTTGAAAAGATTGCCCTATCTTTTAACTTCCAAAGAAAAAAAATTGAGACTCATTGAGAGAGAAAATGTGGGCAAAAAAGGAAAAAGAAGTGAAAGAACAAGATAAAAAAAAGATACGTGCAAACAATGTCGTCGAGGTTAAAGAAGTAAAAGAAAGAAAATATCTCGAAATCAATTTTTTTTATACTCTGAAACAGAGATAACAACTTAATGAAGATGGGACACTAAGCGAAAGCTATAAATATAGTTCACACAATATATGTTCACACAAACGTACTAACGCACATACATACGTTCATATATACTCATGTATTTATCCACAAGAATTTGCATATACATAAATACAGTGATAAATGTTCCTGTAGATATACATAGGTAAAAAGATAATCGGATATATAGGTAAGAAGAGACTACGGAGATGATGGAGAAAAACAGAAATGAAAAGGGTAGATCGCATAGATTATATCTCGACCATAAAGGTTAGAAAGATGATTTACATGACAGTACGACGGCGAGGTACTCACCTGTGAATGTGAGGTTTTTAAGTGGACGATGATGGCAACGATGGCGGTTGCGTTAATGATGGTGGAGGTGGAGGTTGAGATGGTGATGGCGATGGTAGTGGGGGGTTGGTTTGGGTTGTATTGGATGTGTATAGACCCCCCCTGTGGGTAGGGGGTTAGAATACTCCCACAGTATTCCCTGCTTGTCGTATGAGGCGACTAAAAGGGATTGTATGAATGGTGTATGAATGTTCTCGTATGGCTATTCCTATCTTTACTCTTCTATCACTCTCTTTTCTACTCTTTGCTCTCTATTGCTTCCTTCCGTTCCTTTCCTTTCCCTTGGGGAGCCTGGCTCCCTTATATTAAAATAAAATATGATGAGTACGACGAATGGAATAAGCGGGCATGGGAGGGATACCCATGCCACGGCGGTGTCAGGTGGTGGTAGGGCAGGCCACCCGCCGTCGTCAACCAACGACTGCCAGGAGTTTGGGGTAGGCAACCTGGCCCCAGCTCTGGATAATGCGTCAGGAAGTGCATCGCAGGTAGGCGACCTGGCCTGCGGTGTGTCTAATGCGTCAGGAAGAGCAGGTAGGGATGAGGGCCACCTGGAGGAGTGGCAGAAGGCTGCTAGGGCGGCTGAAGGCATGCGGTTTGCCGGACTCACCATCAAACGGGAGACGCGGAAGGCGAAGCGTGCGAGGCCCGTAGTGTACTCGTCCGAGGAGGATGAGTCGGTGTTAGACTGGCCCGTGCTGGGGGAAGGAGGACGAGCGGAGACCCCTGCCTTGTCTCAGGTGGAGACTGGCAGGGTGATCGACACGTTAAAGGAGGCCTCCATCGATGCCGAAAGAGCTAGGCTGAGATGCCGGAACCTCAAAGGAGACATCTCGGGGGTAATGAAAAGGACCCATAGAATAACTATGGAGGGACTCAAGACCCTGAGAGTAAGGCTCCAAAACTGTGAAGATGATCCTCCGTCGGCGAAGGAAACAATTGCGCAGCTGAAGGCTGAACTGAAAGCCATGGAGCTGCGCAACAAGGAAGTGTCAGAGGAGAACACCCGCCTCAAAAGGGTAATCAAGAGGATGGAAACTCCCTTGGTTACCAAAACGAAGGATAGGACCCCGGACGCAAGGCATTCAGACGGGTCGGTGAAGGCACTGGCGGAGGCTGTCCGCAGTGTGCAGCAACAGCTGCAGCAAGTACAGCAGCAACAACAGCAACAACTGCAACAAGTACTGCAACAGCTACACCAACAGCCGCAGCGGCAACAGCAGCAGCGTCAGCCGCAGCCGCAGAGACAACAGCAGCAGCAGCAACAACAACGGCAGCAGACGCTGAGTGGAGCAGCGACTGGGGCTGGTGGACCGCACAGGGGCCCCACACTCCGTGCTGAGTCCACTAGACCTCCTGCGAAGCAGGTAAGTGTAGGTAAGGCACTAACCCCGCAGGATGATTTTGTCCAGGTACTTGGCCGTAAGAGGAGGAGGGTCCAGAGGAGAGAAGCTAATGTACTCTCCCTGGCTGCATCAAGGGATGTAGTCAACGACGCTCAACCCTTGCTGGTGCAGGCGCCCTCCAAGAAGAAAAGGAAGGGGAGAAACCGTGCGCAACGACGGAGGAGGAAGTTGCAAAGGGAAAGAGAAGTCGCTGCAATTTCCCTATCCTGTACCGAGGAGACGACGTACAGGGATGCACTTATGCGGGCCACGGAAGGAATCAACCTGAAGGACCTGGGAATTGGCACCATGTCCTGCAGGAGAGGACTTACAGGTGCCTTTATATGGCAGGTACGAGGCAAAGGGGCAAATGCGAAGGCCGACCGGGTGGCGGAGGCCTTGAGGAATGCTGTCCCAGGGGCAAAAATCACCCGCCCCCTTCGTACGAGCACCATGAGGCTGGTGGGATTGGACGCGTACGCCAATGGTACCGTCATAAGGAACGCACTTTTGGAGGTGCGATCTGGAACGGACCCCAACCTCATTAAGGTCGGAGAGATCAGGATTGGCAGGGGCAGACTTGGTGAGGCCACTGTCACGGCTCCGATGCCTGTTATCAGAGCGGCCCTGGAAAGGGGCAGAATAGACGTGGGACTCACAAAGGTGAGAGTGCACGAACTCAGGCAGCGGCCCCTCACATGCCACCGGTGCCTTGCGCGAGGACATGTCGTGGCAACGTGCCCGGCCACAAAGTCTAGGACAGACTTGTGCTACATCTGTGGGAAGCCGGGCCACGTGGCCAAAGCATGTACGGACAAGGTGGCGTGCCCGGTTTGCACAGATGCTGGCCGGAAACAGACTAACCATCGAGCCGGTTCCTGGGAGTGCCCGGTTGTGCCTCCCAAGAAATGGGTGGACAAGGTGTTCGTGAGGGCACCAAATGGTGGTTCGGAGACAATGACAAACAGGAGAAGTGTAGTGACAGGGAAAGAGACCCATAGAGGAATGTCACAGGAAGACATGGAGGTGGAACAAGGGGTACCGGGCACCTCAATAGTGGTAGAAACAGCGGAGAGTCCATAGACAATGTTCTCTGCTGTTCTACAAACCAACACAAACCACGCGCGCCGTGCACAGGACTTGCTGGCACAGCGCATGCGCGAGGACAGAGTAGAGCTGGCGATCATTGCGGAACCATGGTGGGTTCCTCCGGGGGATGAGAGGTGGTTCTCATCCCTAGGAGGGACCTCACTCTCCGCGGTGCTTGTGGGCGAAAGTAGAAGACCCTGTAGCCTTGTGCGTAGGGGCCTTTTCTATGTAGCCGTTAAATGGGGGGACTCGCTGGTAGTCTCGGTTTACTTTCCTCCCAGCGAGAACATAATTATGTTTAGTAGACTCCTTGATGAGCTTGAGGAGCTTTTAGAAGCATTTCCCGCTCTCCCAGCGCTGGTGGCTGGCGACTTTAATGCCCGGTCCAGCAGATGGGACCCAGAAGGCAGGAGTAACCGGAGAGGTGAGTTGCTCTGTGCCTGGGCCAATAGATTGGATCTGGGTTTGCTGAACCGGGTTGGCTGTCCTACGTGCGTTCGACCACAGGGGTCGAGCGTCATAGATCTAACGTGGGGCACGTCGGCGGCTGGCGTCCGCCTCTCGGACTGGAGAGTGGATGAGGTTGAGTCCCTGTCGGACCACCTACATATTAGATATAATTATAGGCACGAAGCTACAGGGGTCCGAAACTCTTGCCCACAGGAGAAAAAGTTTCCTCGCTGGAAGATTAACTCCCTGGATGAGGACTACTTGGCGGCGGCCCTCATCTCGGGGGAGTGGACGGGTGGAATTGGATGCGGGAGAAGTGCGATCGGTGCGGACTGTGTGGACAAGATGGTGAAGTGGGCACAGTCTACACTGAAACAGGCGTGCGACACGGCCATGTCCCGGGTAAGGGGACAAACCCGTGGTAGAAGAAGTACTTACTGGTGGTCGGACGAACTAGCGAACCTTAGGGCCGTTGCGACGACCACAGTAAGGAAACTTTCCAGGGCCAGGAAGAAAAAGAAGAACGGCGATGAAATAGTGCGGTGCCTGGACGCTCGAAGGGACGCAAGGAGGGCACTGTCTAGGGCTATTAAAGTGGCCAAGAGGAACTCATGGAGGGACCTGCTGGACTCCATAGAGGAGGATCCATGGGGAAGACCCTACAAACTGGTCTTGGGGAAACTAAGGCCATATGCCCCACCAGTAACCGAAACCATGGAGGAGGAGGTACTGGAAAAAATCCTCTGTGAGTTGTTCCCAGGAGGACCGGGAGTTGAAGAGCCGCAGGAACCTACGCTATCGGAGGTAACTATCTCTGAAGAGGAGGTCTTGGCTGCTGCCCGGAAAAAAGGAAGAGGAAGAAAGGCTCCTGGACTGGATGGAATACCGGGTGTGGTTGTGCGTGCTGCGTCGATACACTGTGGGAAAGGGTTGGCGCAGTGCTTTTCTGCATGCCTTAGCACAGGAAAGTTCCCAACAGCGTGGAAGATAGCGAGGCTCGTCCTTATCAAAAAGAAGAGGGACGCGCCCCCGGACTCATCGGGATCATATAGACCCATATGCGTGATTGGCGAACTGGGGAAACTATTCGAGCGGATAGTCGTTGGCCGGATCAACAACTATCTAGAGGAGACTCGTACCCTGTCGTCATCACAATATGGGTTTAGGCCGGGAAGATCCACTGTGGATGCCGTCCTCGATGTTAAAAACTTCGTGGAGGCATCGACGCGGATCGGGAAGGTGGTTATCCTGGTGAGTCTGGATATCTCGAACGCCTTCAATTCCTTGCCGTGGACTGTGATCGTCAGGGCTATGGAGCGTGGAAAATTTCCACGTTACATAGTGGACATCATAAAGAGTTACCTGGACAAACGCGCCATAGCATACACGAACAAGTATGGACGCGTCGTGAAAAGACAGGTGTATTGTGGGGTCCCACAGGGATCCGTTTTGGGCCCTACGTTGTGGAACATTGCCTATGACAGTGTCCTCCGAATCCCGATGCCAGGTGGCTCCCGTGTCGTCTGCTACGCGGACGACACGGCCCTCCTGTCATCGGGATGGGACCTGTCGCAGGCCATCGTGAACGCCGAGCAGGACCTGGAAGTCCTGGTAAGGGAGATCGAGGGATTGGGCCTTAAAGTGGCGCCACAAAAGACGGAGGCCATGGCCTTCCCTGCCTCTGCCTTCTGCAGACGCAGGAATGTCTCATCCCCTAAGATTTGCCTTAGAGGGGTTCGCGTAGAGGTCAGAACCAGTGTGAAATACCTGGGCATTGTCGTAGACTCAAAAATGTCGTTCAGGCCCCACTTTGAGGCCGTAATTCCAAAAGCCGAGGGTATCCTTCGGCACCTTGGAAGGCTCCTTCCGAACCTTCACGGACCGGGCGAGAGGAAGCGGCGCCTCTATAGCGGCGTGATCCACTCGGTGCTCCTATATGGGGCACCGGTGTGGTGGCGCGCCATTGTGGAGGATACGCGAATCGGGCGGGCTGTGCGGAGCCTCCAAAGGAAGGTGGCGATCCGGGTGTGTTGTGCCTATAGGACGATCTCCTTCCATGCGGCTATGATGATCGCGGGGATTATTCCTCTCGGTCATTTAGCACCCCAGCTGGCGGAAACGTATGCGGCCGTTAGAGGCGCGGAGGAACCTGTTTCTCCGCGCGCTAAGGCTGTATTGGGTGCTCTTGCCAGAAGGAGGGCAATAGAGGCATGGAAGGCTGAGGAACTAGAGTTCATCGGGTCCCCAGAGGCAACGGGAGTGCGCACGAGGGCGGCCATTGCCGAATGGTTGGCTGAGTGGATTGGAAGGCCGTTCTCTATCGGAACGACATTTCATACCACGCAGCTGATGACCGGTCATGGATGTTTCTCGGCGTATTTATATGGAATAAGGAAAATCCCCTCCCCACGTTGTTTTCACTGCGAGGGGAGTGAGGATACGGCGGAACACACCCTGATCGACTGCCCGGCGTGGATGGATGCCAGGAATGAATTGATCGCCGCGATGGGGGGAGGTCAGCTAACCCTTCCCGAGATAGTCAGGGTTTCCCTGACTGTCCCGGGAGGATGGGCGGCCTTTCGGACCTTCGCTGGACGGGTTATGCGCGCAAAGGAGGACGCTGAAAGGCGCAGGGAACGGTTGCGTGCAGATGATGGATGTGTGAATGAGCGTGTGGGTTCGTACGCGGATGGGAGCGCGAACGATTGGCCGCATAGGAGAGTGATTCCAGTGCGGCCACCTCGGGCAAGGCTCCGAGCAGCTCAGGCGGCGCCTGGCTCAAGCGTCGCTCCTTTATAGTCGGTAGTTCGTATAAACAAAGGTGAGTGGGCCCGGTCAGAGCACCATGGGGTGGAAATCGGGCCAATATGTATATAGTCAGGGAGTATTTTGCGTCTCCAGGAGCTCGTTGGCCCCTGTCGAGTGCGCTATAGTGGTGTGAATGTGGATGTATGGATGAATGAGAGCAAGGCGAATACCGGCCTGGCTCACCGAGAAGGGGTGGTGGGTGAATTTGTAATACGCATATGTGTAATCCCGCCCACCACCTTGTTTTCTCAGCGCGTTAGTTATAAGAATCGGGAGGTTTTTTAGTCGGTAGGCGACCCGTTCCTGGGAGCATTCCCAGGCGGGCTGAATCCGACACTCCTCTGAGTACCGGGCTCAGAGGGCCTATGAAGGTTTTTCCTCCTGACGAAACAAAAAAAAAAAAAAAAAAAAAAAAAAAAAAAAAAAAAAAAAAAAAAAAAAAAAAAAAAAAAAAAAAAAAGGATGTGTATAGACGACTTTGGGGGCTATGATGATGATAGTGGTGGAAGTGGTGATGGCGGCGGTGTTTGGGGGTTGTTTGGTTTATTAGATGTGGGGTTGTTTTTGGGTTGTATTGTAGTTGTTGTGATGGTTGCGGTGATGGTGATGGTAGTGGTGGTATTTTGGGGAGATTAGGTTTTACTGAGTGTGGAGATGGGTTTGGGAGGCTTGTGATTGTTTTGATGGTGATGATTATGGTGGTGGTGGTATTGGTAATGGCAGTGGTGGTAGTAGTGTTTTTTCGTCTCTTTATTCTTGTCATGGTAGCGAAGCTTTTATTTTTAACCTTCGTTCGCCGTCGGTGACCAATCATAATTGAACTCAACAGACGAGGATATAGGTACGTATCGAAATGAAGAAGGAAAAAATCAGTAGGAGGTACCGAAAATAAAGGGAAAATAGAAAATATTTTATCGATCTATTCACAATTCTTTTCATCTTTTATCTTTTGTTGCTTTTTTCTGTTTTTCTTCTTTCAAAAGATCTTTATAGTCTAATATATTATCAGATATTAGCTGTATCTAAAAGCAATTCTTTCGTTATTCCTGATCTATTGTAGTGGAATTTTAATGCTCTATTCCAGTTCGAGAACTCGGGTACATTTCAACGATTCTATTTAAATAGCACATTGTATGTTCGACCTTTCGATGCATACGTCTTATGAGCATGTACGTGGCTGTGTCTGTGCAAATGGTATTGGTCAACAATTTCGTTACCTAGCAATATCGTCTGCATGTCAGACGTTGTTTCATGCTAGAAAAGAAAGAGAGATAAAGAGAGGCAAAGAGAGAAAGAAAGAAAGGAAAATAAAGAAGATTGGAGAAAAAAAAGTAAGAGTGAATCGAGAGGGAGAGGAGAACAGAGGTTATGAGAAAGAAAAGGGTTTGCTTAAACGGACTTTCTATGCTTGATCACATAATTTTATAATATAATAACGTTTTCCCCCTACCTCCTCCTCCACCTCGAGTAAACTTTTCGAATTGATAGTACATCCCTCTAATGATCATCGATTTTTGATTTCTCAGAGAGATCAACAAAGAGATTTCTGATTTCTCGCAAAGTATCATATTTTTATTTTTTCTTTCGTCTTTCTTTTTCTTTCTCTTTTCTTTATTCTTTCTTTTTTATTCTTTTCTTAAAGTGATTTCACGGAGCAAAATGGGAGGAAGAGTTGACGTAGGAGTGCGGCGAAAATGGTGTTCATTTTACAGGGAGTAGATCGAAAATCGGAAAGTGACAAATTTGATCGAAACAGGTACCAGTATATTTTTTAAAATCATTATCTTGAGAAACGAAACGGAATGAGGGAAAAAGAAAGAGACAAAGAGAGAGAGAGAAGGTGATGAGAGAA